GCCTAGTATCCCACACACCCCCTGTGGTGGTCTGCCCCCCCCCATAGCCTCCGTGAGGGCCTGGCACCCCTCGGACACCTCCTACCCGCCGGGGGCCCTGGCACCCCTCAGACACGGACACCTCACACCCGACGTTAATTGACCCACGTTAGTGCCAGGTGTTCTGATCGTTAACTGACGGTAGCGCCAGGTGTTAACGATCCTCCCGGTGCCTCGTTGCTGTTCCTGGGTCAGCTGAGGCGGTGGGGGTTTTAGGAGCTGTGAGGGAAGGGGGAGGCAGGGTGAGCACTGAGGGCGCCAGTCTGGGGGGGATTCGGAAAACACTGAGTGGGCTTTAACCGATAATGGGTGGAAAGTCAGAGACTTTGGTCCCTTGTGCTCAGTCATGAGGTGGAGGAGGTTTTGTTTCTTCTGGAGAACAGGGACATGGGACTGTTCAGGTGCCAGCTGGCTGCCCTGGAGCCAGTGCTGGTTGTACCTCTTCCTCCGAGGTTCCCCATCCCGGGCGGTGTCGGGGACCGGGCTCGGACCTGCCCGCGGCCGGAGGGAGATGGCTCCTGCGGTCAGGGCCCGTGTCCCACCGGGCCTGGCCGGCGGGCGAGTGTTTGGTGCGTGGCCTAAAGGTGCTGGAGAGTGATGAGGCTGTTTGACTTGGGTTGCTTGCGAACCCCTGTATGTCAGGGAGGTTTGACAGTCCTCTTTAGGCCATGAGTCGCTCTTTACCAGGAGAGAATTCTCTTCAAACCCCTTTTTGTTGTTATAGGTAAAAATCTGAAAAGCTTTTTTTTTTTTTTTGCTTCCCTCTCACCCCCCTCCTGCTTTTTGTTAGTAAAGGATTTCAATACCTGTGGCTGCAGGAGGGGCTTCTGGAGCATTATCGTTATTATCTAAAACCTGAGCAATAATGAGGGAAATGCATTGGTCAGAATTTTATTTTCTGCTCTCTTGAACTGCAAACTGTTACCTGGCACTTGAGGGACAAATTGTTTCCATGAATGTTTTACTTTTTCCTCTTTATCGCCTGAAGATTAAAACCTCTTTCTCCTATTTTTTTGGTGAGTTTTTGAGTGAGAATAGAAAAAACAAGATCTGGTGCTTCTACCTAAAAAGGAAGGGGCTTTCTGCTTTTAATATTACTTTGTTTAGATCTGCCTTATAGGTAATTTTTAAAAGGGCACAGACAAGTATTCTCTTAACGCACACTTTAAGGAGATTGTTTCTTGAAAAAGTTGTCTGTCTTCTTTGCTTCAGATAAACCAAGGAGTCGATATGCTGTGAACAGCTCTGGTGACACCACAGAAGATCAAGATGGGGACTCCAGGTAGGGGGAAAACATTTCTCCTTGCCTAAGAGTTTGAAACAGAGGAGAGATGGGCTCTTGCTCTCTTGTCTCCTAGTTCAGGAGGCAAATTCTGTCAGACTGTATAGAAGACGACCTGCCAAAAAATGCTTTAATGCCAAGTTACGAGCAAATTAGTGCTTAGTAACAAGGAGTGTCTCATGAGGGAACGCTACCGAGTCTGTTGTTTTCTGGGCAAGGTATAGGTCAGTTATTTTGTGCTCATTAGAAAGTCAGTATTACTCTTTCAAAACTAGGAGTATTAATCCTTTGGCAAAAATCCACTTTTCTTTACCTGCCTACCTCTAACTGGATATCTTATTCAGTTGCCTCAAATTCTTTCCTAGCTCGTGTAATTGTAGTATGGAACTGCTGTGCACTAATGAACGACTAATTTTGTTTCTCCAGATATAGCTGCCTTTGTGTCTGTGGAGTAAAATAGTAGCTCCAAAGGAAACTGAGACTTAAAGATAGTTTTTCAATTACAGGAAATCGGTGGGTAACAAAAGCACTGAAAAGACGCAGTGTGTTGTTCCACATGCATGTATGTACGAATGGACCTTCTAATTAGTTTTTGTAGAAAATTTGAAATCTGCTGCATGGTTCTAAGTTTATCACTATCAGATATGAGACAAATCTAGGAAAGAAAAAGGTTTTTTTGTCTGTTGGCATGTAGTTCAGTTGCAGATCTCTTGTGTGATACGTGTTTTAATCTCCAATATTAATAAAATGGAGTAGTCGCTACTCTTCTCTCGTAAGAGTAAAAAAGTACTCATCACTTGCCCTAAAAAAGAAATTTAGATCCCAACCTTGCAAAATGTAAGCTTATTCTTAACTTTATGACTGAGAATGGTTTAGCTGTAATTAAAATCACCCATGACAGTAAACTTCACCAATTCATACATTTTCCCAGGACTGGGATCTTAGGAAAATACATTTTACTTGAGGTCATTTGTATCTCTTTGAAACCTTCAAATGCAGCCTTCTGTCGTGTCTCCAGTGAGTACAGTACAGTACAGAGCACAACTCCCGTGGGAGCAAGCCATGGTTTTGTAAGTTTGGTAAGCGGTGAATGGCTTTTCAGACTGCGCTGTGGTTGGCAGCTAGTGTGCACACTGGGAAGGCTCAGTGCACGCGTTTGCTGGTTATCTCGGGGATTTTGTTGGTTGCTGTTCAAAACCCTGGATAGATTAAGATGGTGTTGGAATGGTACCACCTTCTCTCTGATACTGGTTCTTGTTGCCTCTGCCATTTTGGCAGGTTGGACAAAGCACTTAATGCGGAGCTGTGTTCGCTGGGTGTTGCCTGTGGTGCTGAATTCGTGTGATGCGGTATGTGGCTACTACAGTGATGTCGGAAAAACTTTTAGCATTTCCAGTTATGGTCAGATGAGAAAACTACTGGCATTTTCCTGAAACTGGTTTTGAGTAGATTGAATGTGCCAGTATGTAACCTATGTTAAACAAGCGTTTAGGTTATTTCATTGTAGTGATGTCCAGAACTCTGGGCTTGAAAGTTTGTGCTTAATCTCTTGGTCAGGTATTTGTAATTAAGCTTTTAGTGTTTAAAAGAATTTATGATCTCTCAACTGAGCTCACTGAGGACAAAGTATCACAGTTCTGAAGCGTTGCATGAAAGAATATTAACACAGAAATCCCCCTGCGCAGTGATGGTCTTCAGAAAAAAGTAGTTGTCACTTACACGGTTTTGTATATCGCAATACGTACAAATTCATGCTGCAGCGTCTGCACCTGACTCTTACTAATGTCAGTGTTTATAAACCTTGTATCTACTTAGATGAAATTGAGGTGTCGGCCAACACAGGTCTGTTAGCAGGAAGTCCTTTAATATTATCTCCTGCGGATCTGTCTATAGCTGCCATGCAGGTGAAGGGGAAAGAGAGGAAGAGGAGTGTTTCTGTTGCTCTCAAAGTGTTGGTTCTGCTAGAGGCCAGATATCAAAGTCCAGCACACTGCTTGTGCTGCTTACATGGTTGGGCATCTATGTTCAGAGATTCAAAGACTCTTTCAAAATTGCATTTGTTTATTGAAAAGCTTTTTCCCAATACCAGTGTAATCAATATTGTGAGTACACTGCATCCCATACAACTGATGTAGCAGCTAAACGTATCCTTCTCTTCGGTGATAGCAGCTAGCAGAAGAAATCGCTGATGCCCTTTATATACTAAGTACTGTTAATTTGTATTAGACAAGAGGAAGTTTGTTGGCAGAGTTAATATCTTTCACTGGAGTTACTGATACAGGTGGAAAAAATACACAAATTTTAGGTACACAGGCCCTTCTCCCAGCACAAAACAAAAAGAGATCTTCAAAACTGTGTATGAGAGGTTGCTCAGACTTCTGATTTGTATCAGACCATTTTAGGAGTAACAGAAGTTGGTGCCTTGGAGTAGAAGAGATTCTAAGGGGAGAGTGGAGGCAGAAAGGTGCAAATGTCTTGGAGAGAGCAAGATGCATGTGATTTGTAAACTAGGAAAGGAAAGAGTTTAACTATCATATGCTGTAAAACCAGTATTATCATTGGGCCCATGGGGTTTTTTTTCCCTCACCAATGTTACAAATTTTTGTTTCTGGGCTCCCGTTTGGAATGTGTTTTGTATGTTCCCAATGAAGATCAGGCTAGAGAGACTGGAGAGCCACTCCCCCAGTGGCAGCTCTGTCCCTGTAAGTTTGTTCTTCTGCAGTGCAGTGGTACAGCAGTTCTCTTCTGGAAACACTCGGTTCCATAGTTCATGAAAAGTTTTTAGCAGGAACTCCAGTCTGTTTTCTGGTGGTGGTGATTTTCTGATTAGAGTTGTCCCTGATGAAAGGAACTGATTAAGTGGTTTCGTATTATTTCTGGAAGGCTTCTTCAAGGAAGAGTTGGCAAAAAGGTTCCTTTAAATCACTGCACAGTGCACATCAGTAGCATCTGTGGATGTTTTTGGTGGCACAAATTTGGAGCGGGCAGACTGGTAGGTTGAGGTGATGGTGTATGACAGGTTTAATGATGTTTAAGGACTGGGTCTTTCCCATGTTTTCATGTTCAGTAGCAAAGGTTATTTCAGATTTATCTTGTTGCTGCAATAGTTATCAGGGTTGGATTCATCTTTTTCTATATTGGATGGCTGTCTTTAATTTACCAGCAATCTAGCACCAGTTGTATCCTAGATAAGGTTCACTATTGCTTTGTTCCTAAACTGTTGGAACCCAGATAGATTACTTTTGAGCTGATCTTTCCTGGAACAGTTGAGGTGTGTATATTTCTTTGTGGCCTCAGAAAGGACAAAATTAGATCAATTTAGATGCCTTAACTCCATTTCCATATGGGATATTTCTATGCATAATTGGATTTCTTCTATCCTTCAGACTCAAATTTCCTGTTAGGCATTTTGGTTTTTATAGGCAATTGCTGCCTATCCATGGCAATCCTACCCCTAGGTTACTGCTGTGTATTTGCTTGTATTAGTTTCTACTCAATGGAGCTGTGTGTTTGGGTCTGGAGAATATAGATTGTTCTTCCTTTTTAAAGCAAGTCAAGCAGCAAAAGTGGTTGAGGTGTGGTATTCGGAAGAATCTGTCACTATTAAAAAAAAAAAAAAAGAAAAAAAAAAAAGAAGAAAACAAATTGCCTGTCAAGTGTCTCTCTTTGTTGGCTTCTTCTCAGCCTTTCATCATTTGCTCTCTTCAAACATGCCTCAGTTTTTGAGTGCTTCACTGGTAATACATACCCCTTGCAGCTTAGGGAGATGCCTGCCAGTCTCTTCTTTCTTTTTGTTCGTCCCCCTGAAAAAACGTGAGGTGATTACTCTTTTGAAGCCATAAGATAATGCTTAGTAAAATTGGTTTGAAATGGTTTTTGTAGTTTTTCTGAGGGTGGTATAGTCAGCAAGCAAAAATTCTAATGAAGATGCACGTATAGTAACATGTTACACCAGACTGTGTTTTTTAGTAGCATAACTGACTAACTGAAGGAGGTTTAGCAAATTTGACAGCGTTGATGTCATTAATTGGCCAAATGTTTCTGTTATAAAAAAAGTCAAGTTACTGACAAACAAGGACTTGAATGTCCCTTTCTAACAAACAGTAGTTCTCCTGTGATAACATTTCTGTATCCTCTGTCCCTCTTTCACTGGACTCTAGTGTTCTTCCTTGTATTTGTTCTGAAAGGCTTCCTTTCTGTAAGCCCGTGCTTTCCCATCCATCTATCCATCCCTTTAATCACCCTTCCTGTAATATCACCCCCCTTTGTGCAGTTTGTCATTTGGGATTGCTCTGTGTTACCTTTTCAACATGACCAGTAGAAATCTGCTGTCTTCTGGATTAATAATTGTTGGAGGTTTTAATTTTGTCTCCCCTTTCCAATAAGAACAGCATAAAGCTTTTGTCAGATGCGTTCTTCAGTATATTTAGGAAATTTGTTTGAGGAAACACGTCCTTTTTTCCTTGTTATTTGGAAAAAAGAGGAACAGTTGACTTAAAATAGGTGTTTGTTCCTCTGATGTAAAAGTGAGTACAGCTCTTAACAGAGCCTTGCTCTGTACAGCTGTTGTAAAGAAGGTTTTCAGGTTCTTTGCCTTGAAAACTTTTTCAGCCTACTCTTCCTAAGTTTCTGCTTTTTGCCTGGGGCAGAGAGAGATGGAGAATGACTTCATGCTTGTGCTGTGATTCTGGATGGACTTGTACCTATTGTTTAGATCCCTGGGGGGAGCAGCAGTGGCTCTGCATGCAAGGCCCTGTACAGAATTCTGGCTGTGCATGCAACAATAAATGTTTGGCATCCTCTTTTTCGAAGTCTTGTGGGTATGGAAGCACCAGAACCAATTGTGAAGAGCTGTGGGTCATTTGAGGCTGCATGGGATATTCCTTTGATGAAAAAAGCTAGTAATAGTCTAGAGAAGAAACTGAAGTTTAGAATCTGCTCTAAATCAGACTGCAACCTCTTCTATTTTCTCTTAAGGTAAGCATGAATTAAAAAGTACAGTGTAAATACAGCTCCATACATGCAATGTATCATGCGAACACGTTACAGCGACCAGTGCTAGCGAGAGGACTAAAATGCCTTAGTCTGTTTTCTCCGTGTTGTCAATCTAAGCCTGCAATATATCCCTGGAATTCACCTACCATTAACTTTTGACTCTTCTCAATGGTTATATTTCCTTTACAGGAGTGTAACCCTTAATAGTTCATCCTAGTTTTTAATATGATCTCTTTTTGTTTTGTTTTTGTATTTTGTGTACTTGCCTCGTTTATTTTCTTTTGTTGTGTTTTTGTTCTGTGTTTATGGCCATGTTCCCATTTCAGAGACCAATGTCCTCTAACTGATGAGCAATTGGTTTCAGGGTAAGACCAAACGTTCTAAACAATCACCTTTGTCTAGAATGGCTTTCTATTCTCACCATCCTTTTAATTGTGCTTTGTTTCTGGTTTCTGTTTTGCAGCAAATGATGAGATAATTATATGCTAAATCATAATGTCTGTAGGAAACATATTGCTAAAGGTTTATGCTAGGATAATTACAAAGGTCCTACTAACATTTCTGTGCTTCCCGTAGGGTATCCAGAATGGGTCTGGTACTGTCCCTTCTGTGAACTGAGAAAAGTTGTGATCCTCCAAGAATGCAACAAGTATAGCCTTGGCCTTGTAGTTATTCCAACAAGCAGCCCTAAACCAAATTGCTTTCTGATTCAGCAATGACTTAAAAGTACAGATCAGTGAGTAAACTATTTAATCCCACGGTAATTATGGAGAGTTCTTCAGAGACTAGTTTGGAGCAGCTGCTCTGGTTACTTGTTCTTGGTGTCCCACTAAGCTAAACTGGATGACTACAGTATAATCCCTTTTTGAATGTGTGGAGGTAGAGGTGCTTATCTCTACCCAGGACCCCAAAACTATTAAACTGCATCTCTAGTCCCTGCTTAACATAAAGATGCTCACCTAGATACTCAGCTCCCATTCTAAACTACTTTAAAGAAGATTTCTTTATAAAAACCTTGCTTTGAATTCCTGTGGCATATAAAAAATTCTTATCCATTCTTGGGGAAAAAATGAATTTGTGTTTGAGATTCTTTCCCCCTCCTTTTCTGTGTGCTAAAGCTAAAGCAACTATTGTTCCAGCTGGGTTTCCAGAGGTGACAGCAGTTGATCTGTGCTAGTGTGATTTGTATCATACTGCTGGATTGTCTGCTGTTGCTGCTACGTTGAGCTCGTGATAGAAGTGGTAGGATATTTTTGACAAATCAATGCTTTTGTTTTTTGTATTTAGTTTCTGCCTGCTGAATTCCTTAGTACAAGAGAGGTTAGCTTTCCTCTGGAAATCACAATGCTCAGACTAATCTCATAAAAGAAGAAGGGACTGTTACTGCCCAACTGTGAAACCTAATCTGCTTCTAACAAACTCTTGGGCTCTGATGAGTCAGTATTTTTAGGTCATCTTAATACACCCCAGAGATCAGAAAATCAGTATGAAAATATCTAATGTAAAAGTGTTTATTTTCTAAAATGCGATGATGAATTAAAATGATGGGAGTAACATATCTGCTGTCCCTCAATCTCCCTGTCATTCTGAGGCCTAAGAAATGTATAAATTATGTAGAGCGTTAGGAGGGGGAAAAACCCCAAACCAGCAAAACCAGTAAATGTAGGCTGTCAGATGAGGAGAATGGGGCTGGAGTCCAGGTCACTTGAGGGAGAGCCTGCAGTGATACCAGGTGTCTGTACCCATCAGGTAGCACCCATGTAACCCATCACAGGGTTATCTACCCTGAGCCTGTCAGCTGGCTCCAGTTGCAGTACTCTCCCAGAAAGAGAAGCCTCTGCTAGAGAGAAGATAGAGGACTTTACAAAATCACCCTTTTAGTCTCCTCCTCCCCACAGAGCCACATACAAGGTAGGGCAGAGGGAGGGCTGTCGGTGTCGTGAGCTCTCCTGGGGAACTGCTGAACTGTTACCTTCAGCACCACGTTTATCTGTTAAAAGATCTGCTGGTGTAATTCCTTGTAAAAGTCAAATCTTAAGAGTGGTGAAAGTCATCATAACGAGCAGTTTTCCATCTCCCAAGGTGCCCTTTGCCAAGGCTGAGGGTGGGAAGACTAACTAATTTCTTACCAGCAAGCAGGCATTTTCTGGTTTACCTTCCTTCACCCTCCAAACCATATGCTCGTTTTGGATCCATCGCTGTTACAGTCTCCCTGGTTCCATAATGAGCCTATTAACGAGCACAGCTGAACAGGGCACGAAGAGGGTGAAAAGCTCACTGCTGTCCTGGTGATTTTTTTCGCTGTTTTGAATGTAATCTCCAGGGATTGTCAGTCCAGGTTTTGTTCGAGGACGCTTTGCCCTTCCTTCACGAACTCCGTCTGTTGTGTAGCCCAGTGCGGAGCGATGGCCAAAGAGCCTGGGCTCATTGGTCCCAGGAGTCTCTGGCTAGTCTCCCCATCTGTCTGCTTGCCCTTAGCTGTGTTTGGAGAAGAGCAGCCAGGGATTTGGAAGTTTGTACACAGCTACTCCTTCCATAAACCAAACATAAGCAGCCTGCTGTGGTCAGGATGACCTGTTTGTACAAACACCAGGGGCTTTGACTGTTTGTAAAGACCCTGTGTTGTCCTTCATCTTCAAGATATGTAGGGCTAATAAAAGAAATGCTCCCTGGGTCATGTGCAGACGGATACACACAAAAGACCTGGCTGTGTGCATTTGTCTTAATTTCTGTAGTACTCCAAAACTCACTCAGAGCGAACCAGGACTATGGTACATTAATTCCCTCTCTGGGCATTGAGGGCTCACTTGTGGCCAAGAGATAAGGTGAGCACAGCACACACCCATGCCTGCCCTTTTCTCTGAGTGATACTGGGTTATCTGGGATACCTGCCTGGTGGAGGGGGATGGTCTGACAGGGACACACGTCCCTGAATGTAAATAAAGAAAAATGAAATAAGCGTTTTCATTCTTAAAAAACTAGTCTCATCAGAAACTGGTTTGAAATTCATTTGGTTAAATGGGAGCCTCTGAGAAATCAGATGAGGAGAGAACTTGCTAATACCAAACCTTGCACTGCTCCTATTCTAGAACAGCAGGTTCCCTCCAGCAGCTAACTTCTTCCCTGTGGATTTGAGCTCCGCTGTCTCAGTGGACACCCTGCGGAAAACAAGTGTTTGTAGAGACCAGACCAATGCTGCAAGGCCATCAGAAGGAGCAGTTGCAGAATTTCTCCCTTGTCACACTGGATTCTCATCTGGTTTTGCAGCAGTAGTTGTATTTTAGAGGGCAAACTCCTTGTAGGTACTTGCCCTCCTGTCTCACAGCTGCCTTCTTCCCATCAGTGACCCAGGGCAATCCAGTAACACCATGGTCAGCATTGGGAAGGGCCTGTGCTGTCATGAATTTGTCTCAGTTTGGTTTATCAAATGGGAAAGCCCAGGTGAGGCCAGGCAGCTCTCAGAAGGGTGCTGGTGCTCTGTTGACCACAGATTGAGGTCTGTTAAGTGAGTCACTTTGAATCTCACCGATGAGCTTTGGGAAAGGAAGGACAAGCGTTGGTTGTATGTTTCTTCTAATTGAATCAGCTCTTTCTTGCCTTCCCTTCTGCCATACTGGGTGGCTTAAAGATCTCTGTTGTGCTTGAGTGACAGACTGTGTCGATATATAGTTGCTTAGTAAGTTTATTAACCTGCAGCTAAATCCAGGCAATGGCTAACTCGAGCTGTTCTTAAATATAAGCGAACTGCACCTAATCTTTCCAATATATTTTGCTGAGCATGTAATTAAATAAGCATGACCCTGCAGTGTTTGTTGTGAATGCTTCCTATTTTATAATTGTGATGATCTGAGAGATGTAATTAAGGGGTTCTTAATTTTCCATAATTGGTGGTACTCCAGGTACAGCAATTTAGACACAACTTACAGTACTTTAAAAACCTATGAGTAAAATATATCTGTATGTGGAGGAAAATTCTGGGGGTAGGCTTTTTGAAAATTGTGCTAACTTCTGTTTCTGCTCTTCAAGGTTTTCAGATGTCATCCTGGCAACAATTTTGGCTACCAAGTCAGATATGTGTGGCAAAAAGTTTGAACTGAAGATTGATAACGTTCGCTTTGTTGGCCATCCCACATTGCTTCAGCATGCCCTTGGGCAGGTACGGTACGAGGTCCACTCTGGGGACCTGCCTTCTTTACAAACTGCCTGGCTTAGTTAGGAAACGTGGGATTCAGAATGTGAATGTTGGCTTTTGATCCTGTTTCTACTTCCTGATACTCAAAGCTGTCTTTTACTTACGTCCAGATAAATAGAGTGGCAAGCTGAGCGAGCTGTGTCAGTGGTTCACAGAAACTCCCTTCTGGTTACTGTAGAAAAGCAGTGTGTGTAAAGAGAATACTAAGCAGTCCAGCTCAAAAAGCTGTTTCTCACTATGTTAAGTTATTGCAAGTTAGCTTTTTAGCACCTCTAATTAGTATGGCAGTTTAAAAAAGCCCAAAACCTTCACAAATGCTAGAAGCCGCATCAGCCTTGTTTGGCTTTTAACTCTTACTGGTGCTGAAGATGATTCACAAGGCTCTGTTGGAATAGCGAGGATGTTGAAAGAGGTCTAAAATTTTTTTGGACAAAGACAGGCTGCTGTCTGCGTTGAGACCTTGTTTCGTGGCCTGTGTTTTAGCTGCTTGGAATGAAAGCAATTGTCGCCATGCTATGGAAAAGGTCCTGCTTAAATCTGGGAAAGAATTTACATGCTTCTATGTGCAAAATATTCCCTCTCCCATTCTTTCTTTCTGATATACTGTAAGAACGAACTAGGCTTTGGTAATTTCTGAATCCAACACTGATCTCTGTCACTGAATTGCTTTGGTCTCATTTTTCATCAGATTTACTAAGTCGTTCATTTTTTCAGGAAAAAAAATCTGCTTGCCAATTCTGTCATCCTTTCTGTCTATAATTAGAGGTGCAAACAGATTGTTGGCAACTGCTGCTTGGTATTTAGAGGACCAGACTGCTTTAATCCAAGTGAGGAGCTGTCCTCAAGCATCAAAAGATGCTAGTATTCCACTTTAGAAATCACTTGTGAGTCTACAAGAAATGTGACGGAGGATCACCAGGACTCAGTCCTCAAATGTTTAAGCTGTTTTGGAAGAGAGACTTCAAGTGTCTCCAAGCTGTGCAAGTATGTCAGCAGCCCCAGACAAGGCAAGTGATGAACCAGACCCAGGGTCTGTACAAGGACCCCAGCCAGGAGCAAAAAGGAGATAGGACCAGAGACAGGGCTGGAGGACAAGGCTGCAATGTGCTTAACCAAGGGTCCATCCAGGGGACAGGCTACGTGCAACGTAGGTCCGAGGTCCATCCTAGAGGCAGGCTGGAGACAGGCGCAACTATAGGACCTGGGCTGAGCTTAAATGGGGCTCCTGTGTCATGGACTAGGGTTTGTGTGGGGGGACCCAGTTGGGGCTGCTCTGGGCCATTAAGACCTTTTGGTGCTCTCAGGGTCCTGACAGCAGTGCCCTGTTCTCCCACAGTATCAGATTCCTTTATTTTGCTAATCTCATCCAAAAGGCACAGCTCCCTAAATGTGCTGTAAATGAAATTGAAAATTTGTATTTGCATTTTTTCCCCTGCCTATTACTGTACATTCTCTCTACTTTCCAGTCAGTTTTATCCTAATTGCAGGAAATATCTCTTAATTTTTAATTTGTCTAAATAAAATTACATCTGAGTAAATAAGCAAAGGTATAAAGTGCTTATAACACTTTTTTGGTACTTCTTGTAGGATCTTCTTTTTGGGTGTGTCTTATCACCTCAGCAGGCACCCCAGAACTTTCTAGTGCCCAGAACCTTCTAGACATGCAGCCATCTCTGCTAGTTCATTGGAGTCTGAATTTGGGACCCTTTTGCAGTTAGGAGGAAGGCAGATGGAACTCCTTTCCCATGAGGCAAAGGCAGTGGCCGGAGTAACCTGACAGTCTCTGGTTTGGGTTTCTTCAGAGTTCATACTGTGGTAAATTAATCCATGGGACAGCTCAGCAAATTCATACTCAGATGAGATTCGGGAGTTAACAAAAGCACGAATATTTAATCCTGTGTGCCAGGCTGCTTTTTATGTAGCAATATTCTGAATTCTTCAAATTCCTTCAGCATTTTCTTTTCCAGCTTAGTCTTTTCTTCTTTTTTCCTGGACAAGGGGTGATATGAAATCTAGCCTGCATCCCAACTGATGTTAATGGTGGTAGTTTCTTTGATTTTTAAGGAAGGAACAGGGTGAGTCCCTACACTCGGAAATCCTTTTGAGTCTTTGTTGAAGTTCACAAGACATCCTAGAACCTGTAACTCCAGAACCAATAAACACAGTAACTTGGCTTTACCACCCTCCCATCACTGCCTTTTTGATAGAACTTCACTTACGCTGTAAAAAAACCAAAAATATGCATTGCTTCTTTTAGTTTCTCTAATTTTTAAGACTACTGAGTGAAAACACTCAGATTTCGGAGTTCAGTGCTGAGCAGTTCCTTGCTGATGCTTGGGACCTGTCAGGAAGGGTGGATGTGGCTCTGCTTTTGTCAGCTTCTCCACGTTTGCCGTGTCTCAGATGCTGCATTAGCGACGTATGCACATGTGTTGGGTAAAGACCGAATACGAGGTTAGCTGGATGTTTGGCCTGGCAGGTTATAGCTGTTTTCACTTGGCGTTGAATAGG